AGGCTCTCTCAGGTCCCTCGTGGGAGTTACTTTCTGGCGGTTTAGCAAGCATCTCCCTCTTGTGGATTTTCAGTTGTGTTTCTACTGAGCTTTTAAAGTCTCCTCCAATGTTATGAAACCTTTTTCATGCACTTCGTTCTCCTGTGATAGCCCCTGAAACCGAATGGTGAGAAAGTTTTGTCTTCACCCATCTCTTTTGTAAGGATTGCACATGCTTGTGTATGATCTGGAAATAATTAATCCTTAAAAAACAATGAAAAAAGGCCAAAGGAAGCAGGTGATCAAGCTTGGGAAGGAGGAAGACATTTAATCCTCCACTCAGAATAAACTTTCAATCCTATACTGTGGACAAGAAAAGTTACTAAGAGACCTCATTTATTCTTGTGTTGGGGCGATCTGAGCTTGAAAAATACTGGGAAAACCACTGCTCGGAGCAAAAGCCAGCAACATAATTAATCCTCTTTCTAGAAAAATGACCTATATTATTATGGTAGTTAAATATTCAGAGAAATGTAGTTAGGCATTCAGAGAAAAATTAGTAAAAATCTTGGCTTAACTTTCCTATCTTGAATAGGTTTGCTTAAAAGCTATAAAGTTAATAGTAGCTCCTGAATTTGTTCTCTAGTCCATGGCAGTGAATGTCTTTGCAACTGCTGGCTATTGGTCATAATAATTTGGTCATGATAACTTTACTGGTCATGATAACCTCTTAGTCACCGATATTGGACTGTTGTCCACCTAGCTGGGGCAGAGGAAATGACTTTTGGTAACGTCAAAGAAACAGCAGGTCTGTTGGTTTCCTGTACATGTGACACAGCATTAAATTGATTCACCAAGAGAGTCAGTTCAGCAAAACCTTTAGGAAATCACTTCAGGTTCAAATGTCACTAGTAGATTGTTAAAGAAGTCTAAAACATTTCCACCCTTGCCATGCACATGCATACATGTGGGAGTATACACGCACAAAATTCAAATGGAATCTGAGCACATCCAGTCATTAATTGTTCTTTAAAAAAAACCTGGCTGTACTTGACAAGTGATAAATCTGTTACCATGACAAAACAGAGCTTGGTATTTCAATTGGCAACAAGTTTAAATATTTAAAAATTTTTAATTACAAAAGTAAATAAAATTATGAGCCCAATGAGCAACAACTTATCTAAAACTATGCTGGGGCTTAACTGGAGGCCAGTGGTTAAGAATCCACCTGCCAAGGAAGGGGACACAGGCTCAAGCCCTGGTCCGGGAAGATCCCACATGCCACAGAGCAACAAAGCCCGTGCACCACAACTACTGAGCCTGTGCTCTAGAGCCCGCAAGCCACAACTACTGAGCCCGCATGCCACAACTACTGAAGCCCACGTGCCTAGAGCCCGTGCTCCACAACAAGAGAAGCCACTGCAGTGAGAAGCCCATGCACCGCAACGAGTAGCCCCCGCTCACAGCTACTAAAGAAAGCCCACGGGCTGCAACGAAGACCCAACACAGCCAAAAATAAATAAATAAATAAATTTATAAAAAATAAATAAAACTATGGTGGACTTAGATGTCTTTAAAAAATTAAAAACACGAGTACGGTAAATCTTTTCTATAGAAAGAAATGTTTTATTGGGTAAAAATAGTTAAGATCAAATGCGGTAGTTTAAGCCAATACAAAAATGCAAATTCCTATGCATCACTCATTTTTCCTGTTGTCTGAAGAAATATGACTTATAATAGCACATAGCAGCATTTATTTAGATTTAAAAAAATTATTACTGAGTCACTTTTGTATAGGTGTATGAATACCTGGCTTAACACCTAAATGATCACGACGTGTATAATTCCATCACTTTTTTTGTTTGTTTGTTTTTGTTTTTTGCGGTATGCGGGCCTCTCACTGTTATGGCCTCTTCCGTTGTGGAGCACAGGCTCCAGATGCGCAGGCTCAGCGGCCATGGCTCACGGGCCCAGCCGCTCCGCGGCATGTGGGATCCTCCCGGACCAGGGCACGAACCCGTGTCCCCCGCATCGGCAGGCAGACTCTCAACCACGGCGCCACCAAGGAAGCCCTCCATCACTTTTAACATACTCATTACTTGGAGACCTCTAAAGATGTATAGCACAGGTATATACATTTTATTGTACACTGAAAACATATACATTCTATTGTAAGTAAATCAACCTAAAATGTTGATAAATGTTAAAAAATTCAAATAAATAAATATGTATATAGCACAATCCACACCTAAAACTAGCTATGTGCGTTTAACTACGCTTTTAGGATTTTGTGAGCAGTATCACAGGAATCCATATTCTTTTTTTAAAATTATTACCCAAATCAACCTTTTATTTTTTAAATTTTATTTATTTATTTATTTTGGCCACACCACTCGACATGTGGGATCTTAGTTCCCCGACCAGGGATCAAACCAGCGCCCCCTGCATTGGAAGTGTGAAGTCTTAACCACTGGACCGCTAGAGAAGTCCCCAGGAATCCATATTCTTTTTTTGTTTGTTCTTTTTTTTTATTATTATTTATTTTTATTTTTGGCTGCATTGGGTCTTTGTTGCTGCGCGCGGGCTTCCTCTAGTTGCAGCGAGAGGGGGCTACTCTTCGTTGCAGTGTGTGGGCTTCTCATTGCGGTGGCTTCACTTTGTTGCGAAGCACGGGCTCTCAGCGCGCGGGCTTCAGTATTTGTGGCACTCGGGCTTAGTTGCTCCGCGGCATGTAGGATCCTCCCCGACCAGGGCTCAAACCCGAGTCCCCTGCATTGGCAGGCGGATTTTTTACCACTGGCCACCAGGGAAGTCCCCAGTCAATATTCTTAATATGAACCATAATTAAGACAGTGCTCTCAAATCTACACTAGATCTCAAGTAGCCTTCAAGGTCAATATAGTACCTTCATCCTTCAAATCAATATAGGACCTCTAGCCTTTTTTCTCAGTCTCTTGAAAGCTTTTTGTCATTTTTTAATTGTCCCTTGTAATCATTTAAGAAAGAATTAGGTTGTATAATGTTTATTTTTGGGAAACCCAATACTCTGTTAATAATTATTACTTAAAAATTCAAATATTCTTAGAGTTCCATTGGCATCTCCAAATACAAAAGACAAAACAGACAAACATAAAAGATACCAAAATCAATGAATACTTGGGATCAGTTAGAAGAAATATAGCCAGATTTACTTTTTATCTGCCTAAACAATATACAACACACAAGGCATGGCCTCTTGTACAAGGGACTTAGAGAAACTCACTTAGGATACATGTGACATAAACAACATAATGTTTAGCCTTAGGAAGAGAAGGCTAAAGATGTAACAGCTATCTTTAAATAATTGAACGTTATGTGGAAGGAGTAACTTGTTCTATGTTATTTCAAGGACAGAACTAAGAAGAGGAGGAGGGGAGTTAAGAAAAAAATCAAATTTTTAACTTGTAGCACTTTCGATTGGCGTTGCCAGCTAATAAAATACTCCCATCTAATGAAAAGCTATAGCTGGCTTGGGTTGAACAAGGTAGCTTCTAACACTCCTCCCAGTTTTGATTCAGTGACAATCTTTCCCACCTCCATAGGCTATCCTCAAAGGTAAAAGGAACGATTTTAACAATGTTGGTTGGACCAAGGTCCAGCGGAATCTTCAGTTTTTCCAAAAGTGAGTTAGCGTGAAGAATTCTAAGTACAGTGAGATTTATAAGCAGTGTATATATACATATGGGAAAAGTTCAGTTAGTTTAGGCTTTATTTCCTGCTTTTTAGAAAAATGACAAGTATTTGTCATCTCATAAATAACTCTGAGCACACTTTATAATTTTCACTATAGTATTATCTTCCTTTGTGAAACTATGTAAACACAAAATTCATATGATCCTCACAAATTCCATTAGCATTCAAAAATTCCATGAAAGTAGCTTTAATCATTGTTTGCTCCAGAATTGAACATTAATTATTTGAATAATCCATTCAAAAAGGAAAATCAGATTAACTTCGTGAAGGGTACAAAATTAAAGCTTACTTTATATTTTTAATGTATAAACTTTATTTTTTGATTCAATTTCAATGTAAACGGGGAGTCTGTCCTTCTCTTATGTTTAGAAGAGGCTAAATTGACAATCTACATTTTAAAAAACCTTTGACAATGAAACAGATTACATGGGACCTCTGCCTAATAAAGTTAGACATCACCAAGTATTATATATTTTGAAAGAATTGTATTTGAAAAGACTGTAGGTTCTTTAGGTCAAATTTTTGGGAAACAAGTACATACCAGAATTAGACTTCATTGGACACACCACCATAAAGTTTCTCTCTCCATCAATGAAAAATAGCAAATCAGGTTTCATACCCATCAAAAGCCTAATTGTCAAGGAAGCACTTAGGATGAAAACTCTGGTCTCAATTCAGTATCATTACGTTTAATATCCACCTCTAAAAGACAAAGCAAAAAATACAATCTACAGTCATAAGGACTTATTTTGGAAGTTGATAAAATCAGGTCAGTACAGTGATTTGCATTTGGAAGGAATAAAACAGAAATACCTAGTAGGATATAATCTTAGAAAGCACACATATGGATAGTATTGTGACAATGAGTATTCATTTATTAAAAACAAACTTCAGGAAGGCATTCCCG